AAATTGTAATAACCGTACATTCGAAAACAATCATCCCTATTCATTACATTCAATTTGATGACACGATTTTCCTTTGATAAAAGACCGACAACTTTTTGCTCTACTTTGCATGGAATACGATCCTACTACAGTTCGTATTAGTCTAGGAGCCAGATCAGGTTCCGTGTACTAGCTATAAAAATAAACTTTTTACAGCCATTTAAACATTTAATTTGTTGATAACAATTAAACTGACCACTTTCAGGCTTTGCGACCAAGTTTTTTGGATTCAGGAGGTCAAAATACTTTAGAATAAGTTGTTTGCAGCCGTGGCACTCTGGTTGGCAACGGAACCCTGTCTGGCTCCTAGACTAAAGTGCACGTGCAAATTAGAAGGTTATTGACCTCGACACAGGTTAGCCTAGGTCGGAAACACGTACCGAGTTGTTTATTTGTCTCCGTCCGATTGTATTTTTATCTTCTATTACTTACAGTCAATATTTAAATACTACATACATTTCACCCTCTCTTTATAATTTATCTAGTGAGTGTTGGTTTTTTATGTCATTATTTCTGTAATGAAATTGAAATGGTTATGAAATGAAATTTAAATTATTTGAACTCTTGGGGTTTTGTAACTTCAATATTAAATTTTATTTAAAGTGAAACAGAGCTAATTTCTTTGCAGCCATAATAGTCACATTTGGTCAGATGAAAACCCGCACACTACTCGTCGGTTTAGCTTTCAGAGGAGATTCGGTGTCAATGTATGGGCAGGAGTATATGGCGATCGTTTAATTGGGCCGCATTTTCTACCTGAACATCTGAATGGGCCGCGTTACTTTCAATTTTTAGTAGAAGGCTTACAGCAAATTAAAAAAATAACACTATGATGTTAATAAAAAATTATTTTTGGCATGTCATGATCAGACCTCCTCGAAGTTCTTACTGGGCAACAATAACAATTTAATATGTTGATTGCATAATTATAAGAAAAATTTATAGCATTTTAAATTATTATTGGCTGACGTGAGCAAACCGTTTATCTATTGTCTTTATATGAGCGAAAATATATAAATATGGCAACATTGCATCTAGGTCGCTTTGTTCATATCGTAGCCGGCTGACGTCAGCCGGTCAGTAACAGCCTGAAAAGGGGGTTAAATAATGATTTGTAAATATTTCTCTCAGCTTAAATATGCATTTAATTTTTTTTAATCACGCCATCGTATTATACTCATTTTTCTCTATCTGCTCTTAAAATTAATGACATTATGACTGAATCACCCTGTATAGGTATTATTTTGAGAGAAAATGACAGATAATGGTAAAAAAATAATCTTAAAAACAGTTTCATACAATCTTTAAAACTGTAACTTTTATAAAAATAACATTAGAGTTCAACTGATCTGTACATCGTCAGACCAAGAACACTGATTGTTAATAAAAGAGTATTACGTAACTTGTGTGACTAGGTAGATGGTGTGGTAATGGCTAATGAGGAGATTTATTAAACCCATGTGCCCCTATTTATTATTTATTCATTTGAAATATGAAAAATCTCGCTGGGCCACATACACGAATGCAAAAGCAACGTTGGTACTTCCAATAAATTTAACGTTATCAAAACAACACAGGGACAAGCAGGATATATATCCATGTTTTATGTTAATGATTTTGTCGTATTTCATAGCTTGAAATGCGACGATAAATTGGAGTTTTCTTAATTACATTTATTGTTCATATAACTGAGTAGGTGAATTGGAATATTTGAAAGATTAATTTTCAGTTGGCAGTATCTGTGTTTTCGTAAAATTAATAAGATTTCCTGGAAAAGTGAAAAACAAAGCATTCAAGTTAATTGTTTGCTCTTAATAAACAATAATTTTTATGAAAAAAATTTAATAATAAAACATATAGAAAAAAGCATGCTTATATCAATATAGACACAATCATAATTAAATATATTTCAATCATATGACTTCACTTTCTATTCGTTTTTCTTTACTAGAGTATCATTCATTATTATTTTATCCTAATTACTGCAAATTTAAAAATAATTTACTTGTTTTAGAAACGGATATATATTTTATTATTTGCTTACATATTTTGCCATTTATTATTTCTTTATATTTACTCTTTTGTGTACTTATACCAACAATTTTTTTTTATCTGGCAGTAAAAATACATATTTCATCAGTACAACGGTATAAAATATAATCAAACTGGGAAAGATCGATTACCAAGCGGTTCCGGATCTGTTTAATATTTATGGGGCATCTGAAACCAAGAGAAATCGCAGAGATTGTCATCTATAAAACACTGTGCACAATTGGATTTTATTCTTTTAGTCTGATAAATATAAATTAACCTCAACTTGATACATTTTTTAATAAAAAACCGGGCTGTCTTTTTTCTGCCATTTACATGCTGATTTGCATAAAACCAGGATTTCGTTGTCCCTAAATTCTCAGCTGTAACTCTCTCTTTTGCTGTAGAAGTAATTTTTTGGTATGCAAAATATAATAAGTAGGTATAAAAAAATGCCACAAAACTCGATGTACAAGTAAAGTCGCTTAAATTGAGGATTACATTATAAGGACTATGAAATATATTACGTAACTAACAGGAAAATAACTTTCCCAAACTACTGGAGAGAATGCAAGAGTTAAGAGTTCACTAACGCGACTTTTCTGTTTGAAGTACTTACACAAGAATTTTATGTTTATTAAATATCATATCAGTGTAAGCGTAATAAAATGTATCCAAATGTCAAAACTATACAGGACGCTAAATAATTAATATAGTGTAGTATAAGAACCCCGGGTTCGATAAAAAAAAAGAAAAATAAACGTAGTAGTAGAGCTCCTGTGGGGAAAGAGCATTGCAGAGATACCCACGATCGTTGCTCTAACTACCCAAATATAAATACAATCTTTTTACAGATTCATTTCTCACGGGCGAAAATGTTAGTAAATTCAACAAGGCTCTTATATGCGTATGACATAAAGTGAGCACAAGAAATGCTTTATTATTTGTTTTTCGAACAACGTAATCATGATAAAACAAATTAAATGTGAAACAAAGGAGTTGTTATTGCAATATCTGGGCAGTCACGACAATATATACATTTTAACATGTAATAAATAATGGGCAATCGTTAATAATAATTGTAACAATTTTACCTTAGAAAAATAGATCTATGCCCTTGAGCATAAAGCAATGGTAGCTAAACATACAGAGAAGAATTGTTATCATTAAACATCTATAACCATCACAATCATAAGATTACATAGAACAATTAACAACAAAGTACTTAGAGAATATTACCTGCTAATTAATACGGGTTAAACACTTTGATTTTTCACTATTTTGCCACACTGCTCGCCGATCGTCTTACTCCCATCTCCACACCGTTTTCACCTCAACTATTTAGGCTTCCTTCCAGAATTCTCCACATAAGCGCTTGTTTTTGTGCTTCCTTCTACCAACTGTCAATATTACGTTTTCATTATTGTACAACACCCATGTAACAGATGACGTCGAAGTTGATACGATAAGTATGGTTTTGCACAATAGGACATTATACACCTCTGTAAGCCTATGACCAATTTTTTTACCTTTTCTACAAGAAATCTTGTAAGGTTCTGTGTAAGGTATCACAAAATTTTGAAAGACCCAAAGACCTGAAAGTCCAGAAATTTTACTTGGGTATCCTCAAGTCTGTGCAAGAAAATTACAGAAAATTACGCATTATTGACAAATACCATACTAAAAATATTTCAAAATAAAAACAAATACTTCAAATCACCTTTACGAGGCACCAAATTCAAAGTAAAACAGAATAACTTAAAGCAGCCTAGGAATAATTTCAAATTCCGGACACTAATTTATACACTGTCAAAAAAATTTAAGGATAAAAAGGTCCTAAATTTTTAGGTGATTTTCAAAAAGGCTGTAACTTGGTCGTAGAGCAATAAAACAAAAAACAAATTGAAGATTGAAGTTTCTACTTTTAGGATCTGAAAAATTTATTTCATTGACTACCTTTCAGATAGGTACCATAAATCTGTCGAAATTTTTTTTTTTAATTTTTGCTTCCCTTTGAAAAGGTCCACACGGAGATCGATATATTTTTTTTGAAATCCCACCCGTCAGCTCTTTTATTTTGGTTCATTCTCTTTAACTTGAACTATTCAAAAGCTTTGTACGGTGATTTGTCGCCGAGTTATTGTCGTTCAATGCAAAAATGACCTAATTGGTTTTGATAATTAATTATTCGGGAACTAATGAGCGTACAGAAAATCTGAAAAGGTTTTTGAAAACTTTAAAGTATCCTCTAAAAGGCGTTCTTATCGTATTTTGATGACAAAAATTTTTCGATGCAGTAAACTTGATTCAAAAAAAGGTAAAAAATTGGGTTTGGATTTTCGCTAACCTTGACATATCTTTATAAATAATGAATAGGCTATGGATATTTTCGGTTTTTTTTAACCTCGACGCATCCCAAAGAAACTCGAGAGTTCAAACCGCTGCGATTTTGCTTCCATTGTGATTCGAATGATTGAATTTGTCACTTTTGCTAAAAATAATATAGTTTAAAGTATAAATTTTGCCTGCTTTACAAATATTTTTAAATTGAAAATAGTTTTTCACAAAAATTTCATTTTTTTTTCATAAAAAAATTCATTTTTTTTCATAAAAAAATGAAAAAAAAGTCCAACGGCTATTTGTCGCCAAGGCTGTACCTTTTGAAAGTTACGTAAAAATTTAGAATTTTTTAATTTTTTTATTTTTCTAACCAATTTATATCAATTTATATGCCCTTAATTTTCGTTCTATCACCTCTTAAAATATTTGTGCTCCATTTTCAAACATCTTGTATAAAATGTACAAAAAATTCCAATAAAAACATCTTGTGACCTTTTTCTTAATTATTTTTTGGTAGTTTTACAAAAAATACCTTCACAGAACGATCATCGGACGTTTCTAATTTTTTTTCAGACCTCTCTCGGCTGAAGATGTCGCTCCCCGCCGCCGGCGTAGCGATGTCAACGGCGACTGCAATCTGTCTAGTGGCGATAAGCCTGGCGGTGGCGGCCGCCGAACCCGTCGGAGAGCCCTCGCCCGCCACCCGCAAGTGCAGGGTGTCGGAATTCACGTGCGGCAACTCCAGATGCATCCCCCTCAACCACTACTGCGACAGCAAGAACGATTGCGGGGATTCGTCCGACGAGCCGAGATACTGCACACGTGAGTACGATGCACTTTGTTACATTGTAGACGTAGACGAAGCTGAGAGAGCCAATATATGACGTATTATTATCGGTTCACTTCGGAAAGGGTGGTTTTATGTCGTTTTGAAATAAAAATTTCCGAACGTGTATCGAAATGGCGAGTACAATGTATCCGGCGAGCTAAATAATCAACCAAAATTGGCTTAGAAAAGACAGAAAGACACAAATACATTTGAATCTACTACAGAGAATTAAATTTGCGAAGACGTAACGGTTTGTCATTGTTCCTTGTAAACGAATTAATAATAATGTTGACTTAAGATTTAGGAATTTTTAGTTACTGCCAATCGTGCAATGTTGGTTGCCTAAGTTCCTCGGTAACGTGACTTGTAATTATATTTTTGAGGCTCTGTATGCTGCCACACAGAGGTGCTACACTAACAATGTTTCACAATTAAAATATTAAAAAATAGCAAGCAAATAGAGAATAATCACTTAAGTAAGTTTATTTCTAAAGAAATAAAAGATGTTGAAATATAGAAAGCTGTTTACACTAAGCATACTTTAATTTGATTAGAATAACAAAATTTTGCGAAATTATGTAACTACTTGTATACTTTTCAAAAGTCGGCAGATAAGTAAAAAATTTCAATAAATAATTAATTGTATTTGCAAATCGACTTTGAGAAGAACAAAATTAAGTAACGGCAAATTCATAAAACAGTAAAATTTGTTATAAAAAGAATTTGTAATAATATTTCTAAAGAATTAAGTAAAAATAGTTGCGAGTAAAGCATTTCTGTAATAAAATAGACTCAAAAGTGTTAAGTTTTAAGTAGTGACAGTAAAGGGGGGAAATACCGATACTTGATATAATCAATCAAGTCATAAGTCAAAAGAAACTTCTCAGAATATGTTGGAGATAGTGATACTGCCCCAAAAGGAGATGTGTGATGTGTGGTATGTTTCAGTGGTATTACCTTCAAAAAACAAGAGTTGACCTTGAAATAACCTTGAGCATGGCCCTCAAGCCAAATTCAAGGTCACCAGCTAGTGGTTTCCTATGACCCAAACAACTTTTGTAGAGGTCATTTTCCCGATACATCGTCTAATGAGATACCAACCTGAGAAGTTCGAAAAACAACATTGGACGTGACCTTAAAAAATAAATCAATCACGTAACCGAACATAAATTTCTCGCTGTTTCAGAATCCGGGGACAAAAATTGTTTTAACATCAAATAAACGAAAGTTGACTTCATTACCGGATTCGGATTAAGCGCCTTAAAAACATATGGGGATGGCCTACCACACATTAATTTTTTTCCCTTAGGGTTGTGTAATTAAAATATTTAACTGTATCACTTTCCTATTCCTTTCTTCATCAAATCTCCGAAAAAAAATAGTTTTCTTGTTCAAAGAAATAATATAGACTTGTTTCATTGTCGCAAAGTAAATGCGAAGCATATAAAATGTAGCTATATGTAGAATAACAATTTATTATTACTCGTTTTTCTATGTTCATGAATAAGCTACTAGAAATTTTCTAGATTTGTGTCTACAAATATATAATAAGACGAAATTGTCTCTGTCTCAATGACTAGGATTTTCCTCCACCAATATTGTTAAACAGATTTTTTCTTAAAATAGCGAATTTCGCAAATGTGAAAACTTCTTTTAGGGATAACTGAAATAATGTACAAAGTTTTTTAGACCCGTCTACTAAAGCGTCTACAAAAAACTCATATACTTTCAAAATCCCATCTGCTTTGTTTTATCGAAATAATAATGAAGTTATATACTTATTTAGTCATAAATATGCTAAAAATGTTTTATATAATTGAACTTTATGTTTCTATATATATTTTTTCAACATAAATTTCCTTCATTATATTAGTTTTCTAATAATTGTCCAACATAATTAATGAAATGGAGCAATTCACATAATCTACACAAAATAATGAATACAAAGAAGTTATATCGACAACTTGGCAATTAAAACTGTTGATCGATGACTATCTGCATTTATTAGCACTAAACGCTTTTGAATTGTGTAGTGTTAATGAAAATGAATCTCGACATTGGATGAAGCTGGTACGCCGAAACAATTATATGCAAATTTGTTGTTCATTAATACTGGCGTGTTTGAAAAACGGGATATTTTTAAAATTGTTATAACCTAATTAAAGCCGAACTCAGAGAAATGAGGAATGAATACATGAATTAAAGCCAAATCATACCGGGTATTTAATAATCACTAATCACATCCAAATGAACAACGTATAGCAGGTCTGATGAAAATCGACTATTTTGTCAAGTAAATATGAATAAATATACTGTGCATATTTCAATCATGCAGATTTTGAGTTTGTGTGAGAATATTTTCGGCATCTTCTATTGCTGAATGTGATACTATAATAATAATACAGTAAATATTGAGAAACAGAAAACTTGAATCAAAGTTTTAATAACCCCAAAATTTTTTTATAAATATTATGTGGAATACTTATATATTTTACCCACTATAAAGTAAAAAAAAAAATGATTCGAAACTTGTAGTAAATTATTATTTTGTCATATTACTGTTGTTTTATAATTATACAATAAAGTAACATACATCTTCATTAGCGTAATCAAATATGAAATACGTAAAACTGAAGTTTTAGGAAATGAATATTCGTAATGGATGACAAATATTGATGCAGCTGGAAAAATAGTAAATGTAACCGCAGCCGCCCGCCGTCCCAATCTATTTCACAGTTTTTCTCATTAAATATGCATTACATATAGTGCATATCCAACAAAGTTTAAAATTTGCACAAACTCGTACTACATAGAACCCGCATCAGCTTATAAACGGATTTATTTAAAGTGCGTGATTTTATTTTTTAATTTTTAATAAAAAACCTAAAATTATGCTTTCCAAAAAATTTTTGTTTTATGTAACAAGCATATTAATATTTCATCTAGTTTAAATTACTTCATTCATATATTATATATTTTGAAATATTTTCTACGAATTTCAATCGGAATTTGCAATTAATTAAAATTATGGATTTAAAAAGTCCTTTGAAACGATATACGACTGTGAGCTTCTAGCTTTAACAGTGAAGTAGAAAATTGGAATCCAAAATATAACATTTTTCTGTTTTCAAATACACATATAAATATATCACGACAATAACTAATAAAATACTAATTTTCATTTTGGTGATATAATTACTATCAGAATTAATTAATCAGTTAATTACTTATTTATCCAAACAAGATGTCTGTAATAAGTGTAATACTAAAGAAAACACAGTTTTTATTATTTCTTTCATATTTCTTTATTTTACCGCCAAAGTATGCTGAGTATGCTAGTATGCATAACCCTCTCATTTTCTCGCATCTTACAAAGCTACTTTTATAATATTCCCGTGGTTCTGTATACAGGGTGATTTCACTTTAAAAACAGAAACTGCAGGACATAGATTCATTACTAAAAAACGCTGTAGTAAATTTCATTCAAATCGTTCAGCGCATTATGAAGATATGACAGAAAATATATATTTTTTGGAAACTTGAACACCCTGTATCTCGAATACCACGTCCCGCAGGAAAAAAGTTTATAGAGCAAACTCTACTTATTTTTTGGCAACTAATCTATTCCTGCAGTTTCTGTATTTAAAGTGAAATCACCTTGTATATGAGCAGCAGCATGATTTGACACTTGCATAGGGCGATTAGTTCGTCTTTGTGGTCTTAAAAATTGCCGAATTAAAAGTACAATTTTTACCACAAACGTATTTTGTATAGTGATATTGTGGTGGTTTGAGTCTATAGCGGATTTCGAATTTTCACCCATGTTCTCAAAATAATTTAATGAACCTTCAAGAAGCCACTGACGAAACAAAAGTTCCGTGAAAAGTACGAGACAAGAAATCGTAAATACCCTACGCACATAAAAATTCGCAAAGCGGAAAAACAAAATTAAACTAATGTTTCGAAACTTCAATTCCAAATTTTTGGAAAATAAAATAATTCCAACTTTTACGAAATTTTGACTGATCTTAGAGTCCGGAACCGGAATCAATTACAGATCGGCAACCCTTTGGAGTCGGTCACTGTTCCAAAACGGGTGTTTTTCAAGAAAGTAAAATTTTCAAATCAACGCGGACAACACCCCAGAGTCCTCGCGGCCCAGCCTGGACTGTGTTTGAACGTCTACCCGAGTTTTCCGCAGCTTATTAACGAGGGACGGATACCTGGCCAGTACAATAGTACGCTCCAAATTTTTGATTTGGATTTGTATACAGTTATCGTTAGTGCCTCCATTTGTTGGAAATTTACAGAAAATTTCAGTAAATTCCTCAAATTTTATAAAATTCAAAAGTGAATTGAAAAATTTTACGAATCGTCCGAGACGAAGGTCCTGATGGGTACAAGCTGCCAAAACTTTCATGCCAGGTACTCTAAACACTATAAGCTCTTAAAATAAATCTAAAAAAACAATGATAAAAAGACACCAGAGTAAACTCTCCAGTGCTACCAAACTAAAATGCCAACTGCAAAAGAAGGCTCAGTCAAGAACCTCACAAAAAAAAATGGCATCCCGAGGGCGTATAATCACTGATTTTGATTACAGGGACTATGAAGCGGGTGTAGTAGAGCCCTGCCTTTCAGATCACCGTGGTCAGTACTGCAAGTTTGCTACTGTTTGTAATTTACCTGAACCAATATTTAGAAGGCAAATCACAAGATCCGGATTGGAAAAACTTAAGAATTCGCTGATGGTGGTGGATTGGAACCTTTTTACTGATGTGCACATGGACATTGATTCGGCTTCAGATTTTTTATGTTCAACTTACCGGGAATTAATAAAATAATTCTTTCCTTTGAAGCAAATTAAGGTTGGTAGTAATAAATCTTCTATTATTTGGTTTAACGATAGTCTCAAAGAAATGAGAAAAAATATTTCTGTTGTTAAAACAATATATGAAGTCTCAAAAAATCCATTAGACTACAGTATTTATAC